AAAGGAGTTACTTTAGATAATGCACCTACACCTCAGTTCTGCAGCTTCTTTCAGCTCATTGTTTTCGTCCTGCCCAGCACCAGACTGCACTCAGACGCATGAGCAACTAACCGGTGAACATCGTGGAGCATTTAACAGCTACACAAACACAGTTCCCCCCGGAGTTATGAACCACTGAAACCAAGCTGAAAGGAGAACGAATATAGGATTTACATTCATCAGGTGGACACAAAACAACAACAAGTCTGCTGAATTTCAGTGTTTACAGCTTGTTCCTCTCTTGAAGCAGGAGCGTGGGACTTTTACATATAAATGAACCTCCATAACATCCAAGCCCTTACCAGACAAGTTCGCAAAGTACTGATTTAGCCAGTCAGTGCCAATACATTTCAGTTTTTCTGGGGTTTTCAAAGAGGTTTCTGTAGCAAGATTTCCTTCCTGGTGCACTAGGAGTGATGTGTTTTGCATTAACTAGCAGTGACTGGTTGAAGGAATCATAGTGATGGAGACGGAGTAAGCTGGACCTGATAGGAGAATAGTGACGCCTATGGAGGGAAAACCTGGGAAAAGTCCAAATAAAATTAGTGGCGCTCCAGATGAAAAGAAACTCAGTGTTCAGAGGAAGCACCACAGTAAGGAAGAGATCGACAATGAGGCATATGACATCCACATGTTAACAGGATTTGTGTAACTACCCTCACTGCCACTAGGGGGAGACAAAACTTCTGCATTGTAAGGCTCAGCGAATATTGGTTTTAAATGTCAGCAAAGTTGCATTTGAGCTTAACGCCAGGTGTTTACACGTTATATGACGAATGGAAACAGCATTTTTACCATCCTAAATATGTGATAATGAGGTAAAAGAGCATTGAAAAACAACAGGAGCAGAGAATTTGTTCTAATATGACCAGCTAACAGAGTTCCTCTAGCTTGAGGCTAACGCTAAGCTACAAATGAAGAGTTCACTTGCAAAAACAGATAACTCCATCTTCACAAACCTTCAGAAAACCCACTTTTCCATCATTTAATACAATATCAATAAAACTTAAGTTATCTCCATTTTTGTCATGTACAGGGCTTCTTTAGGGTTTTATAACTTTGTAAGATTTTGACACATTGCAGCCCATTTTAAGCAGTTTTAAACCCCCCAGCAGGTTTGATATGCACGTTATCTTTTTAAAAACATTGTCAAACTTTTTGTCAGAGCTATGAACAAACTGTAAGAGCAGAAAGAATCACGTGACTTTCAACAAATCATGCGTGATGTGCGATTCCATCAGAAAAATCTAAACTTAAAATCATTAAAAAATGACTTTAATCTGCATGTCTTATTTAAATCTTTGCCCAAAATAAATCATTCACACCAGATTATGTAAAAATCAAATAATAGACTGACTGAGCTTCAACCGACAGTCAGATGACCAAAAAACATCAGCTTTTACGGCTGAACTGCAGGCTGTGTTCACACGAAGCAAGGAGGAGACAAGTATAAAAACCAAATGGGAGATTGAGAGTAAAATGAGGCATACTTGGGGGCGGCTGTGGCTCAGAGCGAGTCGGTCAATGATCGGAAGGTCGGCGGTTCGATTCCGCCCAGTAATCTGTGTCATGGTTGTGTCCATCGCCCACCTTACCTGGTGTGAAAGCGCAAGAATAGTTTGAGATGGTGGTCAGAGGGGCAGAATGTGGGGCCCAGGGCAGCTATAGCTACCACCACCGGAATGAATGTGTGTGAATGAATAACTGACAGTGTAAAGCGTCTTTAAGTGCCTAGAAAAGCACTATATAAATCTGATCAATCATTATTATTAGTATTACTTGAGCAGTAAAGTGAATGCGTCAAATAGGATACAGAGGCGCAAGTCGTTTAAACATACATTCAGCATGGTGAAATATGTTTCCAGAGTTGATGCCCACAGTGTTTGTTGAGGTTGTAAAAATGGAAAAAGAAAAATAGCAAGAGCAGGTTCTATAGAGATAAAAGAGACAGACCCAAACGGAAAAGAAAAACAAACCAACACAAAAAAAAAAAAGGAACAGAAAAAAAAAAAAAATTCTTAGTGTTCAGAGGCTCAAGCTAGTTTTCAGCAGCTCGCTTTATTTGATTATATCATCGCACCAAAAGCGTTACAGGGATTCTAAGATCATCATACGTTTGCTGCTCAAAGCCGCACAGCACTGTCTGCTCCATCCGCATGGAAGTGGTGGTTAACCCCCAAGGGTTGTAAGGTTACATGGCACCGGGTGCTTTATGTTCACTGGCAGCGCATAAAAGAGACTCACTGAGGCAGCGAAAACTCTGACTTCTGTCAAATACATTAAACCGTCTGCACAGGCGGCTCAGAGTAGAAAGGATGCTGTTATTGTCAGATGATTCATGCATACAGTGCACTCAGCTGTTAGCGCCGGGATCAACCCACCAGTAGGGACTTATACAGGATGCTGGTGCGTAATAGTTGGTTGCATCAACAGTACAACCCTACGTATTCTCGTAGATTAATCGTAACAACTGGACTTGCAGGAGTTCCTTGAAGACGTTCCACCTCTCATCCAAGAGGCTTCATCAGTTCTGACTGACTAGCTGGGAGTTCCAGATACTTATATCACCTGAGTTTCAGTTTAATTCGGGCTTTGTTGCTCCTCCCCCTCATTATGTGAGTCATTAGTGCTCCTCCTGCCACAAAGGGGTTTGTTTGTGGCTACTAGGTGTGAATGTGGTTTCATCTTCCTGGGGAGAGATCTTAGGCCTGAATTGTAAACAGATGAGAGGTGATGCCTCCACCTCTGCTAAGTGATAGTCTTTCCAGTTTAACATAGATGGCTTCTTTCACTCCTCTCTCAAACCACTTCAATCCTGTCTTTACCTGACCTTTCCTTTCTTTCTTCCTCTCCCCTTCAGTCAGCTGTCATCCCTCCATCAGGCCCAGTCGCTGAGGAGGAAGAAGAGACGCAGCGTGTTGTCCATTTTCTCCGGCTTCCGCAAAAACCGCAACTCCACCATCTCCAATCAGGACTCGGAGTGAGTACGCAGCACAGGATTGGAGTGGAAGGAAGGGAGCGAGCGTAACTTTTAAGTGCACAAGACCCCGAGAATGAGACGGCTGTTAAATTAATCCTGCGCCGGGCATTAATGCCACTTCATAGCTTCATAAATATTTTAATGGAAGAAAATATTGCCCCATCTCCAACTGTTTTCCTTTTGCTTTCAATTCATGGCACTGCATACATTTAAGCCGCCGTTACATAATTGCGCCATACTTAAAAAAAAGTAGACAGCTGTATGCAAAGTGGAAAGAGTACAAGTCGGCAAACTTATTTTAAAACAAATTAATTGCACAGATTAGGGGGAGAGAATGGCACTCACGCTGCAAACTTTCAACCATTAAACTACACAGCTGCACAAAACCCAGGAAAGCTGCACCGTGAGAGCTGCAGTGTGTGTTTCAGCTCACAGGTGTGCTCGCTAAACTTTTCCTGCTGCTTAACAACCTTGCCGCGGTGCAGGAAACACACACTTACACCGAGGCAAAGTTTTACAGCGGCGTGAAAGAGCAGAATAAAAGAAAGGGTGAGTCATCTGAAGGCCAGCCATAGATAGAAGCAGCTTCTCTTTTTTTCTCCCTTTTTTTAAAACCATGTTTTATAATATTTCACCTGCAGATTGTTGCTAAGCAATCAAAGCGATTGTTTGTTGCCGCATTCCCTCGGCTCCCCTCTGCATGCATTCCTTTTTTGTCTTTCAACGGTGTGTAGGAAGCGCAACAGCATCTGGGCTCTTACATTTAAATTCACTGCAGTGTTTTCAAACTGCTGACAAATGAATCATGTGTTACTATAAATTAAAAAGCACCAGCGTGTGGTTTATTAAAAACACATCCAGCCAGTTTAACTGATGCATTTCTCACATTGTAAGGTGGAGAATCGGCTCACACGGGGTTTTTTTTTTCGTCTGTCTTGTTCAGCAGCGCCTCAGAGAACGTCTACTCCATGATTCAGCACCCGAAGGACCTCGCCAGGCCGGACAGCGCCGGTCCCGGAGCCAACGGGGCCATGCCTTCGCCTCGGCCCGCTCAGGGTGTAGCTGTGCATGGGATGAGAGCTGCCAGCCCTCCCTGCCTCATCCAAAGACAGGTACAGCGACTCTTAAAGGTGACAACACGTAAAATCCCAAATTAAAACTCCCTGACGTCTTTACAGCGCCCGGTGCAGATTCACTAAGTGAGCTGTGAACCTTGAAATGCGCGTTTTACCTCCAGGACATTACTCTGCTGTGGAATCGTGCACTAATTGGCACGAGAGACAGTTGGAGGGATACAAGGACCTGTATCGCCACCGGACCACACTCACTTTTATCCTTTTCAGTGAGACAACATGAAAAGCGTTCCTCAGGGGGAAAACAGAGGCTTCAGAAAAAAAAAATAGCAGAAAAGAGTCAGAAGAGTCCAAATGTTCAATTATATGCAAATACGCTGCTGCTTTGATACCATTTCCCAAGTCTGTTTCCATAAGTAGGGGTTGAAATCATGAACATCTTGCTCGAGGTTCCTATATTCCCTCATGACGTGACACAGTGCACCGCATGCTGTGCCCACCACCTGCTATTCACAGTCTTTTGCTGTTTTGGATTTGTGTAGCTCGTCTTAAAGTGCGGAGGACTGTATGGCCTATTTTAAATCAAACGCACACACTCGTACACACTCGGAGAGTCAAGTGGATATGGATGACTGCAGCTCTCTTTAAGTAGAGTCCATGGATCCCCACTGATCTTTTGAGAGCGTCGCCTGCAAAATGAGGGATAATTTAATTTTGGGATAATTGAATTCGCGAGAAATTTTAATTATACGCTTCACTCCGACCCTTTGTGCCACCTGACTAGAGAGTAGTACAATTTGGCAAATCATCAACAATTAAAAAAAATTAAAAAGAAAGTCTGATTTGAGGAAAATAAAATAAATAAATAGTGTCTTCTTTTGTCCTCTTCCAGTCCACAGATCTGGTCAGCATGGTGTACAGCTGCATCGGGGCAGAAATCGAGGACTCAGATGGCAGCAGCACCTGCGACATCAAAGCGACAGATCAAGACGCTGACAGATCGATCACCATCTCAGACGCCCCGACGGAGAGTCGGACCAACGGCCACGTGGCGTCGTCCAAACAACAGACGGACAGGCAGATGGAGACGGGCAGGCAGGAGAGGATTGTGCCCCTGACAGACTCGCGAACTGAGATGGAAGAAGACATACAGAGTGGCGGCGGTGGGAGCCAGAGGCCGGAGCCTCCTCCACAGAGCACCAAGCCCAGTCTGGCCGTCATGAGGCAGAGACACCTGCAGGAGAGTTTAGGTACTGCAGCTTAAACTGCAGCTCAAGTTCTGTCACAGAGGAAAGAACCTTAAAATACTTGAAAGCTGATTAGGATGCATGATATAATGATGGTACACAGATGATAAAGAAACCTGTGTGACTCTGTTTAATCCCACACATTCATCTAAAGAATATTGTTTTATGATAAATTCATTCATAATAATGACTTATGATCATTTCACATTAATGACAGACCATCAGAGCCACATTTAATCATCCTGCTTCCTGCTGTGTATGTTTATGTCACTGCTCTGTTTACTGTTCACAAGTTGTGGGCGTAAAGCTCGAAAAAAAAGCCTTTGCGAAAATGTTAAAAACTAACAGACAGCAGTTAAAACTTAGATCGACATTGTTAAAAGAACATTCATTCAAGGCAAGTCTGTCAAAGTGAGTTTTAATGAGCGACGCGATATAAGAGCAGACAGTGATTTGATTGGCTTCGTCCCAAAGGTACGCCGCCACAGCTATAGGGGCCTTTACAGAGAAAGAGTCATTGTTAAGGGCTTTTGCCAGTTTCAAGTCTAGACTTTTTAACGAGCAAAGCCCGCTCAGTGGTTTAGACCGCAGTCTGACTCAAAGGGAATTAAGAGATCAGTACAAGAGCCAGAAGCCTGAACCGCTTGTGTCATAAAATCAATGTTAAAGTCTACAGATTGATATTAAAAATGGAGAAGAGGTGCAGGACTATATATTTTTATCCGCTGATTGAAGTCTTTCCTGCAACATGTGGACGGCAAATATGTGTTTATAGAAGCTCCTGCTGTTTGTCTTCATTTACTGGACCATCAGTGGCAGCTTCTCGGCACATAAACATGCTGCAAGCATATGCACATGCATTACAAATACACAAAAACAGGTGGCCAGTACAATATGCAAATCTATTTTTTTGTCTCTTAAAACTTGAAGGCGGCTCTTAGCACAGAAACGGAACAGTAATCCAGCCTGTAATTGCAGGTGGTTTGTTTGTTATTGCACAGTTTTTGCACAGTCTGTTTTCAGTCCAAGGCTTGTGTTTCCAGGTGCTCATGAAATGTTTACTCACGCTACTCGCCAGCTTTCCCGCTTCAGGGCTTTTACTTTTAAATTTCAAACAAAGATTTGATGGATCATTGTACGGACGTGTCGACTGTGTTTCACCAGAAGAGTCGGGGAGGCTGGAGGGAGAAGAAGACCAAAGCGAAAGAAAGCGTGAAGACAAGCAGAGAGGGCGAGGGCCAGAGGGACAGCGTCCTCTCATTCCCAATAAGGTGCGCTGACATAAAACACACTGTTGGTGATCACTTGTTGCAGACTGTGATGTGTCGCATAAACCAACCCTGTGCTCCTCCATCAGCCCAGCCTGGACCTCTCCAGAGACAGGACCTCCCCGGAAATGACCAAGAATTCACCCAAAACCTCACCCGTCACTCCAGGAGAAGAACAAAACAACGAGCAGAGGAGCTTTCCTTCAGCTCAGCCCATCATCGAAGACGAGGAGAGCGCCGAGGGGAACAGCTCACCAGCGTCTGCTAAACCTGGGATAGAAGCAGCAGCAGATCCTGCCGTCGTCAGTAACGGTACTGCAGCACTGTCACTGGACAGCACACGATATTGATGGTAGTCACAAATAGTGATGCGTTGATTAACTTTCTAAAGCTTCTGATTCTACTAGGGATGCCCCATGCCCTATCCTAAGATCAGGACTGGTTACAGAAGTTTTGAATTTACCAATATGAGCATCAATCCCATGCCTAATTCTTTATTTGCATGTGTTGTTACACACATCTGATGTAAAACTACAAAAACAGCCTTTAGATGTTCCACTCAGATCTAGGATCACTGCCCCACTTTATCACAACCTAATTTAATACTTTTTTCCCAGCCTGAGGTCAATAAGCCTCATATACAGTCATCCTCAAATGTATTCATCCCCCTCCATTAAAGAAAAGGCAAAATTCACAATAGTCACTCAAATAACTAGAAACTGAAAAAAATAATAATAAATAAAAATTTGCTAAATTATGATTTAGTGAAGGATGATGTTGCTTTTGAATTGTGGTTGAAAAGAATAATTTAAAAAAAAAAATAATTTGCTCTAATTTGTCCCAGACAAATTCAAAAGCAATGTCATGATTTTTATTACTTATTTATTTATTATTACTTTTGTCAATTTCAACTGATTTCAGTGACAGCTGGTATGAACACATTTGAGGATGTCTGTCTGTCACAGTGCTCCTCGATTAGCCATACTCCCACATTGCTCAGCTTCTCTTGTCGTTACAGTATTAAACAGTAAGAGGCTCCACCTGGTGGTGCAATCAGGTACTACAGCTAATCTACAATGAAGTGTGTATTATTTAGTAAAGTCGTATTCGGTATAATCAGATGCTAAATATTAAATGAGTCTGATTGGATCGGAAGCAAAAAGAAAAGTCAACAAAGCTGTCAACGCTAACATCAGAGTCTTACTAGTTATAATTAAATTGCAGAGTGAATGATGTTATTAAGGCCATATGGGCCGAATGAGATGATGATTGTGATTGTTCCTCCAACAACAACCGACAACCACAGATGACGACGGAGGCCGTAACGGGTTTCCAGCGACCTCGCATCACACCAGGAAGTCCAACTCGTTCGACATAGGTACCGTACGCGTGTCACCGTGTTTGTTCCCCCTGCTGTTGTGCACGTTTTATGATATACAGTACACAGTATGCATGCAGATACACTCATGGATACAAATGTACATCTCGCTGCTTTTGTTCATAATTCATAACAGCGGCGCAACGCGTTTGTTATTTCTTATGAAATGAAATCAGCACGAGTCTCTTATTTGATGTGTCCCCCAGCCTGTAAGGCGTGCTGTTTGTGCTCCACGTTACTCTTCTATCCTGCATCCCCCCTCCCCTTTTTTTTTTTTTTCAGTTCCTACACCCTACTATGTGTGTTTGTGTGTCTCATGCCATTTCCCCTCAGGCATGGAACGGGACAGCCCCTACGATCTGGAGAGGTCTTCAGATCAGAGATTCCCTGTGAAAAAGCCCTGTTTCCCCCAGTACAGAAACAGATCTCTGGACTGCCCTGCTGGGACCAGGTGTATGTATCTGTTTCACTTCCTGTCGGTATGTGTGGTATGACAGTCAGGTGGCAGTGTGTGATTTTTCCTCAACACAAAAATAACTTTAGTTGCACCACTTTTTTTGTCGCCTAAGCACGTGTAAGCCTCCTTCACTCCGCTGTTCACTGACGAGTCATACCCCACATATCCAATGCATGCCTGTTCAGCTATTTGAGACATCGTAAAACATAATTTAAAGAAGTAATTTGGCTCCTTTCCAGATATGTCTCATTGCAGCTGGCAGCCGAATCTGACACTGCCTGGATAAGTGTGCTATTATATTAGAACTCCACCATTTTTGAAATAAGGACCTTTTATCACTCCTGCTTTAATTGGAGCTGATTCTTTTTTCGATACCACGTTCCATTATTGTGATAATTGGCAGCCAGGTTTAGCTGATTCATCACCACTTCCTACTCTGAGCAGCCTGGCGCTGAAGATGAAAACCCCGGGGCAGTGGAATTCAAGGGGGACTAATGACATGGAAAAAAACACTGCCAATTACCTCTGTAATACAGATCTATATATCAAAAACCTGCTGCAGGGGACTCAATTACCATCACTGTGAGAATGATAAAAGGGTCTACATGTCACAAATGGTGGCATAAAAGCCCGTTATATAGAATATGTGAGCCCGGAGTGATCCTCTGTGACCCGTCAGGTTGAATTTAGGTCGACGGAAACATCAAGCAGAGACTTCTCACTCAGGACAATAGAGGCGTTGTCACATTTGTGTTTCTTGTGCACACTGAGATGTCAGTATCAGAGCTGCGAGGCCCGTGTCGGAGGGATTGTTTCCGTTTGTGCGGAATCACATCAGATCCCGACTCCAAGTTTGTCAAACTTAAAGATTACGGGTTTTTTTTTAGTTGCCGGCTCATGACACAGCATTTGACATATTGTCATCTCATAAAAACGAGTTGGCAGAATGTTGACAACTTGTTTACACATTCAGCAGACAGTCTTTTTATTAGAGACTGACATCTGCCACAGCTGAAAAAAGTTGCAGAAAGCTAGGTTGGGATCCTAAACCTGAATTCTGAGACTTGGACAAAATAGAGCCTTAAAGCTGATTTGATTTTTGCCCTCTTGGGGGCAACAGAAACATTTATTCGCACCTTATTTATCTGAACATCGAGCAGACGAACAGCGTCTTTAGCTGTTTGATTTGAAGACACTTCTGAGTACGTTTAATGTTTCTTATTTCTAGTTTGTTTTGCTAGCTTTAGCTGTCTTTTAGAAATAGAAAAGAAAAGAATAAAACTTTATTGATCCCTTTAGTTTAAAACCTCAGGGAAATTGTTGAAATTTTGTTTTTAGTTTATTAATTTAGTTTATTAATCTATTGTTTTTAGCTGTTAAATATCCCGCTTGCTAACTTTGTCTGTCTGTTTTGTGCCAGATAGTCAGTAGAGCTGCATGATGAATAGTTTCACTGAGATTTGTGCAGCAGCCACGTCACAGAAACTGCAAAGTGAAGTCAGGAAAATTCACTCAAACACATCAAGCTGCAACTTTTTTGCAGCTTGATGCCACACAGATCCCCACAGGGTTCTCATTTTCCAGAAAACACAAGAAAAATCTGCCTGTTAGACCATGTTTTACTACAAATTAAGGGTTCACAGACACACTGAGATTTTTGTTGTTGTTGTTGTTGTTGTTCTGTTATTTAATTTACTAGAAGCAGTGTGTTGACTTGCAGGCTACACATGGAACAGGAAAGAAAGATTAATTTGCAAAAAAGAAATGCAGCGTCACGATTAATGGAATTAATCACAATCACGGTTTTGGCTTTGCACAGTTAATTGAATATGATATTGACATTTAAAATGCTCACAGAGAACTCTGCTTAAAGAGCACAGCCCATGTAGATTAAATCATCTGGCTTCAGCCTGAGTAAATGTGATATTAGGAGTCCTTATTCCACTCTTTTCTAAGCAACTGTTGAGTTGTTGCCCTGCAGTAACTGAGATTAAAGGCTTCCAGCTTCTACTGTAGCCTGTATGTGAGGCGTTTAGGGAACATCGGTTAATTGTAGTGTCTATTGATTAGCAGCAGCTCAGCGAGTGAGGTGTTTTGGGAGCCATTTAATTTGTATTTTGCCTAAAGCAGATGCACTGATTCAGGTGAGGAGGAATCTTGAGTCTTAAGTAAAAGCAGGGCTGTTTATTCTTTTTAAATATTACATTAAAAAGAATCTATTTGGCCAGTCGTAAGCAAATAGTTCGGCTACAGAACACATCATGTTGACAAAAAAAACAGGCAGTCTTGTCTGCAGTGTCTCACAAGCGCAACACAACAAACTTGTCAGACAATTTAAATCAGCACCACAAATCTCTTTACGACGAGTAGAAATCCAGACCTGAATGAGGTCCGAAGCAAAAAGAAAAACAAATTTGATGCCTACATTTCAACACTCACAAAAAAATCTAGTTTGTCCTCAGCTTTTTTTTCTCCAATGATTGTTTTCCGTGCAGATGCGCGCCCTTAAAAATCACCCCAATCAGTCGAGAATATATAGTTTTTAGTTACTCAAACCATCTGGTGAAGATTCCTGTAGTTTACACATTGCAGAAAAACAGAACAGCTCACTTGTTTCCAGCGTTGTGTCGTCCAAAAAGGTTATTTTGCCAGAAAGTGTTGCTGAAAACAAGGTTGAGTGAAAGAAGAGTTTGTGGACAGACAGAAAAACAAACCTGAAGGTGATAATTATGTGTGTTAGCCACTGAGGGTGAGCCCTCTTTGTGCCGCTCACAGTAATCAGATCCACCGTCAACATTAACATTTCACGAGCTTTCAAGTCTCACGTTGCCTTCTGCTTCTTTAGGTTACGAAAGCCCCCAGCTTGGTAACAGAGACGCGTTATGACGTTACCTGTGGACCAGGAGAAGTTTGCTGGGAAGGAAAGACTTGAACATGGAGGACTGGAGAGAGACGAGCTTTTAAAACTGTGCGGACTCGGCCGACAAAGACCCGACAGCGGCTCCTTTTACTGCTTTTAACCCACGTAAACATTCGTTTGCTGAAAAATGCATGTACTGTATGCTTTTTGTTTTTAACTGCTTGCACTCGCTATGGTTTTTTTTCTCAGGCATAAGAGAAGCTCTACTTTTCATACAAACACACAACCGCAAGCGCTTCGGTGTCTCTCCAGTATCATCATGAAGAGTTTTATGCATTTGTGCAGAGTCATTTAATATTGATATCTGTCTTTTCATCCCCTCCCTGTCTTTTACTGACAATCTGTGACGACTAAAAGTGAGTTTGTACTGTATTTATTCTAATGGGATGTATATAATTAATATAAAACTGCACTAACCATTGTGGTAACTCGACCAGTTAACAATCATGTTTTTATTTGTGATAATATGTCATTTGATAACCGTGTTTGTAAGTATGCTTTTGGTGTGTGCTGACGTTGATGATTGAGAAACGTGTTACCATGCACTTAGCACTCCCATCTCTTCAAGAGTATTTAAGTCAGTCGGTGGATTGTTTTAATCTGATTTTGCGGGCCTGAAAATGAGTATATTTTCTAAAAATGCTTCTATGAATCAGAATAAATAAAATTGAATTTACAGAAGGAAGTGGATTTTTGTAAGTTAGATTTATGATGCGTGTTTCTGTGTTTACGTTTAAATGTTATGTCAGAGTAACATCCATCTGCAGGACTAATTTAATCATTTTAAAGATCTGTTTCTTCATCGTGAGTTCATCCTGTGAAAACCGGAGCAGTTATAGGTTAAAAAGATAAATAAATAAATTACATATTCTTGAAAACTTCACCTTTACAGTGTGATACAGGAGATCACACTCTTTATAAACAAGTAATCTCACCGGATTTAGAATGCCATCGTTAATTTCACTCGGCTTTGTACTTCCTTTCGCTATCTGAGTTTCTACTTTGACCAGGGATATGGGCAGCCCTGATAGTTTTTTGCACCTAATTAACCATTTTGATGACCGTGCTCGTCTTTCACCTCGACATTTCCACTGGTCACTATTTTGCTCAAACATCGAAGCTGCATTCGTAGCTTGACCTCGTCCGTGACAACCGCAGTTGGTTTAAAGACAAACAAACGAGCCAGAGGGTTTTTGTTTGTTTTTTACCACTAAGGCAGAATGATAGCGTGGTGCAGCCAGATCCTGAAGTTCTACAAAATGGGCGAGACTAATAAACCTAAACAGTTTCAAAGGGAGGGACTCACACGCGCATGTGGCCAGATCATCCATTAAAACAAAGAAACTTAACCCTGTTCAGGACTTTCATGTTGCCGTACGTAGAAGGTCTTTCAGGGTCCATTGGACCCCAAGAAAGCATATGTGCAGAATACTTGTTGGTAGTCATTATAGACTTATATACTATGTTAAATACATTTTCTCATAAGTTGACGTATTTTTGAACAAATGTCCTCTTTTTATATACATATATTTTTGGGGGGGGCATTTTTGCCTTTATTTGACAGTACAGTTTGAGAACGAGACAGGAAAGTAGGGGAGAAAAATGAGGGAAGGACCTGTGGAAAAGAGCCATGAGCGGGATTCAAACTCATGACCTCCATGTTGGGGACTATAGCCTCTGTACATGGGACGCCAGCTCAACCAAGTGATCTATAGTGGCACCCTACTTATATTTTTAAAATAAGATTTATAAAAATAAATTCCTGTCACCTAAACCAAATGGCCTGGGGTCTAAAAGACCCCAAAAGTCCTGAATAGGGTTAAGTTACAACACAGTGACGGTGTGACTTCACTTTCTGCCAAGGACGCCATTAATCCATTACATCTTTACATAGCAGACAGTAGTTTGGTTCTCTATTCTTGTTTAAAATCTTGCATATTGCACCTTTAAGCATGCAGCCCTCTGTAAATCCACAACTTTCTTTTCTTCTTTTTTTTGCGGTTATTAAACATGCAGAGGTCAGGAGGTAGTTTCAAACCTTGGACAGGGTCAGACTAGCTCCCTCCCTGTTCCTATTCTTCATGCTTAGCTGAGCTAAGCTAACCGCCTGCTGTTTGGTTCCAGCTTCGTATTTAAATGAACATTTCAACATTTGTCTAAAGTTTACAAAACTGATGCTGCTCTTAAGTCTGAATGTGAACACACCAACGAAGCCACCGTGCAGATGTTTTCTCAGCTTAAAACAAACTGAGGAAACAGCTACACTGACTCCATCCAAAAGCGTCACGTTTGTTCAACCTGTACGAAGTGTGAAAACAACAACTTGTAGTTTCACTGGAGGGTGACGTGCTGGACTGTTGGCTCAGGAGTCGTGACTTTCTGCTGTGTTTGCATTGTGTTGGCACCGTGTAGCTAGCGGTGACCTTAGACTTACTTGATATTTATGCTATGCTAAGCCCATGAGCTGCTGGATGTAGCTTTATATATCAATCTTCTCTAATTTTCTGCACTCAAGCAAAAAAAAGTCAAACACCGGTTATTACAGAAAATGTAGCATCCAGCATTTTTACAGCTTTACAAAAAAATACCAAGAGCTGGTAGTTGTATTATTATTATGATATTCTAACACTTTGTGGCCTTGAGTTTGACTTTTATTCTTTAAATCTGTCTCTTTTGAGCATCTCAACTTTATGGAGAGGCGTCGCTAAACTGTTTTCCATTTTACGCACCTATCAAAAGAGCAGCACAGGACAAAAAAAGAGATCGTAATCCTGTCTCGGCAAAGGAAATGTCAGTTTTTTTGTTGGAAATTAAAGCAATTGAGACAAATTTTCCCATCTATATTCAACACTGTGTCTAAAGAGAAGCTACAAGGAGTAACATCCAAGTCTGATGGTGACAGATGGCGCTTCATTTTCACTTTTATTACTTCTTGTTGACTCCAGACACACTTTTTCAGTAAGTGCCGTGAGCAGCAGATGGCAGCAGAGACCAGGCGCTGCTCCAGCCCGAAAGCTGCCACCTCACAGTTCCAGCTACACGTCGCTGCCGAGTCATGATGCGCCGTCGTTCCCAAAGCCGTGCATCCCTAGCAGCAGCAGCTGATACACATAATGAAGGCAGAGGGTTGATTCTTCGTTTGAAATTCCCGAGGAGACCTGCCAGTGAGAGAGATCGGCATTTAATTGACGGTATAAAAATGCACCTCATGAAATACTGCTATCTGAGGCTTGTAAATCACAGATCAGGCCTCCGTCAAGCACACAGATGAGCTCAGGCTTAGACTGCTCGTCAGCTTTTTTTTCCACACTGTCTGTTTGGTGACACTGAGAAGCTTTTAATTCCCTCCGTGCAGTCACCTGATCTCCCACGCTGCCAGGGCAGATCACAGCCAGGAGTGTTGCATTCACATTCACGGGGGTCACTGGATAAGCTGGTTAATTCTCCCTCTCCCTCTTTTTTTTTTTTTTTTCCATCTACACACACACACCATATGCTCAGCTGTATGTAAACCTACACGGGCAAACACAATGTCCCAAGAACAACAACAAAAACCTGCGCGTGTGCGTTGTCATGTCAGGCTATTCCAGCTCATTCATCTCCAAGTGTATCAGATGGTACGCTCGTTTATCTATGCATATTCGTGACCTTGTTCATTCATGTGCGCGCGCCGTGTTTGCGGAGAAGTGTTCGGCACCGGCAGATGGGTCAGCAGCAAGCCATTTGACTCGCTGCGTCAACAGTGGCAGGCTGGTAATGAGTTTATACGAGCCGGTGTGCTTCAGCATGCACCTACTGAGCAGCACAAAAACAGGTAACGCAGCCTGACAAATGGAGCATCTCCCCTGTATGTATGGTGTCGGGAGAGGATTTTTGGCTCTTGGTTTGTGTTAGGTAACATAATACGCCTGACAGGAAAAAAAAAAAAAAGAGAGATTCAGCTTAGTGTCTGAGCCTGTATGTTGCTTTTGGAGTGGCAACACAGTCGACAGTCGTGTGAATTATCTCCCTGAAAAACACCTAAGCTGTAGCTTATCTGCATGCAGACAAGAGGTGTATATTTAACTGCATCCGGAGTTCACAAGGGCAATAACCGAACGTGTAAACAGAACCAGCTATATTTACTTTGAGAGAAGGAGTGAAGTTAAATCCTCATCCCACATGCGGTACCTTCAGATTATTAGGATTCAAAGGCTGGCTGACGTGTGCGCCCGAGAGACTATTATTTTGATACGGGTGGCATATGGTAACGTTGTGAGCAACAACAACGCAGCCCTGGATTCCTGTGACGAAAACAGTAAAGCTGTTTCTGTTTGGCAGCTTAGCTTTTTTAATTTTCTTGCAGCGGATGATGCCGATGGGGAAGAAAAAAAACAAGCCTGAAGTCAGAGCAGAGTGGTCTGCGGCTTGATTAAGAACTGGGCAGGAGCAGGTCGTGACTCAAGAATCAGATGTTGTTTGGTGCAGCGGCGGTTTGGTGGTTGTTATGTACAGTGCTGTCCGGCAGACCGAAAGCAGATGATAACGCCAATTATCACAACTGGATATAAAGACTAAACTGTCATCAACAAAAAAAGCTAATTACTGGCAATCATTCCGCTTCTAAATATTGGACTGTTTGACTGGACAGATTGCTCAAAAGCTTGGAAACAGTGGGTGACACTCCGTTCAAGGTCCATTTCCTGGCTCGCTCTGGAGCATTTGCCCATATTGCAGAGTTGACATTAGCTGATTAGTTTTGCTTAGTTACGCTTGTCTGAAAGTAATAAGTTCTCATTTTGAGATGTGTTAATCACAGTCCTGTCAATAGTTTGGACACAGCTCCTCCAATAGTAAAGACACCATGATTTATGTGTAAAACTAATTTACGGAGACAAGGCAAAATATGTTTCATATTTTAAGGAAAGTCCTGAAAAGAAGTAGCTGTGTCCAGACTTTTGACAGTCACGATCTGCATCAGTCAGAC